CCCCCCCCCACCTCCCAGCCCTTTCCCCAGGGAACGGCCGCGGGGCAGCACATGGGCCACACGCCCCGTGACTCGCCCCCGGTCGCGCCGGGAACGCCACCGAGCTTGACCACACCGCGTTCCTCCCTCGTTCCCGTCATCCCACGCCTGGGCCAAACCCTGCCCCGGGGTTTTCGGGGCTTGTGCAATCGAGGCAGCGTCGCTCCACCGTCCCCCTCCTCGCCCGACGCCTTCCCGCCCCGCACCCGCTTGTTTTTTCCCCCTTCTTTTCTTCCCTTTAGGCAAACGGGGCGGGATCCGCTCCCACGATCCGACGCGATGCCGGCAGCTCCCCGAAACGCGGTGGGAGGAGGTGGCCGCGGCACCTCGACCCGTTGCCCCCACGGCCCGAGCCGGCTGCCGCTCGCGGCAGATTTTCCGCCCGGCCGAGGCTGTTTCCTCCTGGAGGGGAGCGGCGCTGCGATAACGCAGCTGGAAACAATCCCCGGAGTTTCTCTCGCCTGGGTCACCCGATGACTCGGAGCGGGGCTGTTCTTCCCAGCGCGGAGGGACCGTGCATCCCAGTAGCCCCCCCCAAATCCCTCCTCTCCCCAGGGACGCTGTCACAGTCAGGACAAGGGGACACAGGGACTTGCGCCAGCTGCCGCTTCTGCCTCTATCCGCCAATTTAAAAGCGGGGTGTTTGGGCATGTTTAAGATGCTCGGGGCATCTTCCCGACAAGGAAAACCCATCATCCTAGGAGGAAAAGCACCGGGATATCACCAACTTGGGTGCTCCCCATCCCCGTGCCCCGACTCCCCGGGGTGCAGCACCCTGGGTGCCTCCCCAACCTGTCACCGCATCACTTGGGCCACGGGAGCACCCATGTGCCCACGTCGGGGAGCTGTGAATCCCCAAATCCCACCGCTTAGAAAGAGTGAAAGGCGGAAAGCCTGGTGGGTGTTTAGCCTGGGGAAATCGGAGCTGGGGAAAACGTGGGAACAGTCAGGAAAGGACACCAGGGAGGGGAAGGCGATGCTCTGCCCCCATTCCCTGTGGAACCGGGGTTCCCGGGAAGGGGAGTGGGGTTGGGATGGGTGAGGAAGCACCAGCCAGCGGTGATGGAGCGTTCCCGGGCAGGGAGAAGGTTTGGCTTTTCCTCGCAGGACCCTCCCGGCCTTATTTGTTCGACACGCGAATATCCAGCGAGAGCTGCCAAAGCCGCCGTTCCCCAACCAGCTGCATCCCTCCGTCCGGCTCTCCGGCACGGCGCTGCCTGCCAAAACCCTCCCCATCTAACGGGCTCTAAATTAGGTTATTCAGACACCGCTACAAACAGTTCCAAAGCGAGTGCTGAGCTGGAGAAAGGCGAGAAAATCACAGTACGGTCGCCCTGAGCCGTGCCGCTGATGAAGAACAGACGGACGCAGCTTCTCCGGGCACAGCTCTTTGGGAAAAGCTGGGCTTGGCAATAACACGGCACGGCGGTGGAGCAGGCATCCGCTCGCCGCCCCTCGCCACCACTCAGCTGGCGAGGAGAAGCCGTTTGGAGTCAGGAAAAGTTTTGGAAAAAAAAAAAAAACCCAAACAAAACCCAACCCTGAAATTCCTTGCGGATGCTTCAAGTTTTTCCAGCTCCTCATTTGTCTTCTGGGTTTTGTGGCGTGCTGCTTTTTCTTCCGCTTTGGGTTGTTTTTATACTGGGGGGTTTTTTCCCCCCTCTCCACCAGGAATGTGACCGGCAAGAAGAGGGTCACATCGGAAGCGTGACGAACAGGAGAGATTCGTCATATGCAGTGACGAGACTTTCTCAAAATCGTTTTTCCCCCCCCAAATAGCTGCAATTTATGCAAATGAACAAAAAGAAGAGCTAAACAGGGACTCGGTGCATCTGGCTTCCCACACTGGTTTCTCTCCCAGGGGAGATGAAGGAGGGAGATGAGTCTGCGGTTACGCTCCTGGCTGCACACCTACCCCGGCCCCAAGCCTGGCTCAACGGCGCTGGGGGCTGGATCCCCCTCCGCAGAGAAGGACGGTCCCCGTGGCTGGCCGTGCTCAGCATCAGAACTTCCAGCAGTGGGAGAAGGAGCTGGGACCGGGTGGAAAGCATCCCCCCTCCACCCGGGCTGCCTCGTGCACCTCGGAGGCATGGCCGGACCAGGAGATAGTCCCAAAGAGCCTTCTCCATCCCATGTTTTTCCCCATTGCGCTGGTACTGAGCAGCCCAAGGACAGGAACAGCAGCGTCCCCTGGTCCTTCAGGGTTTCCAGTGTATCTGGGGGCAGCACCCACCCCCAGTAAGGGCTGGATTTTGTCACGGTTCCTCCTCCTCCTCCTCTCTCCAAGCAACCCGTTTCTGTTGAATTTGGCCTTCTGGCTTTGTCCGGCAGGCTGGTGTCTGTCGAGGAACTTCGCAGCGGCGGTAGGGATGCCACCAGAAGACTTTGGTCTCTTCTCCATCGCAGCAGACCGGCCGGTGCTGTGCCCTTCGTGGGACCGCGCGGTGCCATTGCTCAGCCGGCAGCCCGTGCCCGGGTGATGGGGAGCAGCATCCCCCAACGCCCGCGGTGCAGGGAGGAAAGCAAAACCCAGGGGTTTTACTTGAAGAGGCGACTCCTGCGGACGGAGGCAGCTTGCCTGGGGATGGTTTTTTGGTTCAAGATGGCAAGTTTCTGCTCTGAGCAAGGAGTGGAGATGCTCTGCCCATGTGCAAGCCCCAGCCTGCGGTGAGGACCGTTCCTCCCTGGCGTTTGCAGCATCGCCGCAGGGCTGGCACCGATCGCTCCGGGGCCCAGGACAGACACCGTCCTCCCAGCCCTTGGGAGTCAGTAAATCAGCTCTCGGGAGCTGCTGGGCTCCCCTTCCGAATCTTCACCCTGGGGAAAACCTGAAGGATTTGAGCCCATCTTCCCCTGGCTCCACGCTGCCGGTATCACCCCAAAAAGAGGATCGCAGGCCTGGAAAGAGGTGCCACATGCTCTGCAGAGGACTACGCTCACTGGGGTGCTGGCAAGCCGCCTTCTTGCCCTTCCCGCCGTGTCATCCTCGGGGAGCTGACAACAGCCAGGGCGCTGGGCCTGCTAAAGAAGGCAGCGGGTGTGTTTTCGAGGCTCTGGCTGGGAGGATTATCGCTCAGATTGCTTCTCCAAACAGGCTGAATTTCTTCTTCCCTGGGCCCCAGGCAGGAAGCAGCCGCTGGGTTCGCGTTCAGCCCTAGCGAGGGCAGCACTTCAACACCGCATGTGTGCAAGCGCCGAGCTGCAACGAGTTTTATCTCGATTTTTTTCCAGAACTGGGGCTTTCACCAGCACAGAGCACCAGCCACAAACGGTCCCTGCCCTCTCAACTGGAGAAGTCACCAGCTCCCTTCGTGCAGTATGAGAAATACAGTCCATCGCTAAAACATGCCAGGGCTGATGTCTGGCCCCTCAGACCTCCTTTCCCACCCCTCCTGTCATCTTGATACCTTCCTGCGCTTCGCGTACACTCATCCAGAGTAGCAAAAAGGGGTCTGAAAGCAGACAACTGTGGTTTCAAGCTTATTCATCATCCCATGTATCCTGCAAGCTGCGGTACACAGTATGTGGTGGCATTTCTGTGGCCACTTCTTTTCCTGGAAGAAGCTCCGGGGGCTTCTCCTGAGGTTTGCTTCTGGGATAGCGGAATGCTGACAAGAGCACAGAGGGGCTGGGACCCCCGTAACGGAGGGCTCGGCAGCGGTACCACCGCACGGCAGCCGTGCCGGCTGGGGTGCAGGTAGAAGTGATGCCTGGCCGGGTTGAAGGCTCAAGTGCAGCATGCCTCCCGCGATGTACAGAAGCACGGGCACCCCGAGGAGTGAGGGCACATGGCACGCTGCTCCCTGAGAGAGCACGGGGTGCTGGACAGCAGAATGGGGCCCAGCAGCGAAATGCCCCTGGGGTAGCTCTGCCCAGTCCCTGCTTTACCTACGCCAGTGCAGCAGCTGGGCTTGGCCCCAGCCCTCTCCCCCGTCACACCCCCAGGAGCTCAGCCCCAGCCTCTACCCCGTAACCCCACTAAGGGCTCAGACCTGACCCCCTTACCCGTAACCCCCCCCGCCCATGGGCTTGGCCCCAATTCCCTCACTCGTAACTATCCCTGGGGCTCAGCCCTGACCCCTCACCTTCACCCTCGCCAAGGGGCTCCGCTCCAGCTCCCTCCTTTATGCCCCCCCCCTCCAGGCACTCAACCATGCCCCCCCTTACCCACACTCTGTCCTCTACCCCATAACCCACCCCCTGAGGAACTCAGCCGTGCCCCTCTTACCTGTAAGCTCCCCAGAGTCTCAGCCCCCATCCCCTACCCTGTCCCCCCCCTCCTCCAAGACCCTCAGCCCCGACCCCTTACCTTCAACCCCCCCAAGGCGTCTCCGCTCCAGCTCCCCCCCCTATACCCCCCCCCCCAGGATCTCAGCCCTGAGCCCCTTCCCTCCAAACCCCCAGGGTCTCA